CAATCCCTAACGTTCTGGGATTCTGTGTAAAAAGGACTAGTTGGTAACTTTGTTTCCCAGTTGAATTTAAATGTGCATCGCTTGGGGCCTTCTGTTGCTTGTATCCTAGGAAGTTCATCTGTTACCATACTCACTTTGTTCTTACTATTCCTGTTCATAACTGTTTCACCTTGCGTGCTTGTCATGAGAAAAAAGCAACCCTGTTTGCTTGGAAAATAGAGTGCTTGCAGGAGACAGCTGAGTAGCAGGTGTCAGAAAGTCATTTGAGTGGTGTAATAAAGTCTTTGGACTTACATAGAGGAGCGTGGCAGGTACAGGCTACGCCTGTTTATGAGTAGCCTGTTTATAGCAGGGCAGAGTGACGTGTTTCACCAAACTCTCCCAAAATAGATGTTTCAGTAGTTTTGATATAAAAAAGGCGTCATTTCCCTCGAGCAAATGCTGTAACTTGATGGTGTCAGACTACTCTGGAGTTCAAGTATGCACAGAATTAAATAATAAAGATATCCATACTCAATATCTGTATTCAACATAGGCTGTTGCAGAGCTAAGCTGTATTCTGTTCCTCTCCAGTGTACTCTGACAGTCACCTAGCTGAGCACAGCATCACCTTCGTACTCCAGAAAGCAGCAGTGTTGTGGTCAGATGCCAGGGCCGGTGCAGCCGCTTGCCATCTCCATCCCTCCCATCGCCATCAACCGTCTTCTGGATTCACGTCTTCTCTTAAATTTGGACTTTTGTGCTGTTCTAGTAGAAAGTGAAAGCAAATGTGTACGTTCCGGGTGTGAGATGCAAAACTGGCTCCTTTGCACCAGTCTGGGGTTTGTGGCTGCAGAGAGACGTTCACAGAGGCGGATACCAAAATATACGTGGTCTTGCTGCTGTCTTCTGCTGTGTAAACCCTCCCGTGTTACTGAGTTGCTCTTCCTCTGGTTATTCTGTTTCAGAGTGTGGTCAGAGACATTCAGAATAACTTCCACTTTGTAAATGTCTTTAAAAATTGCCCAATCAATTGGACGTACAGTTTATTTTTCTCTCTGGTCTGCAGAATATTTGTATTTGTAGCAGCACGTCAAGGGTCTCATTTGACTTCTCTGGCCCCAGAACAACAACAAAACTGTCAGAAGCAGGGGAGTGGATTTGCCTTTGAGTTAAACTTCACAGAAGGAAGATGTAAGAAGGAGAAGATGCAGATATATGAGATGATACCCTGAGACAGTTACTCAGACCTTGTTACTTTGCAAAATGAAGCTGCGATTAACAAGTATTGAGCAAAATTCATGGGAACATTTGAAGTAAGAGCTGCAGCTTGGAGAAGTAAGAGAACAAAGTGCACTTTAGTATTTCTGTCCCTGCTCTGTTGGGATTGTGAAGTTAATATCAGGGAAAGATAGACCCATTCCTACTGTGAATTTGGAGAATTTGCTTTTTCCTGGTGTCTGTGTAGATGAGTGTAAAGCGGTAAAATGCCTGTGCTGCTGACTGATAACTTGTCATGGAAGAGCTGTCCTGGTTACTGTGTGTGGTTTAATATTTCTGTCACGCTGCTGGCAGCCAGGAGTGATGGCTGCTGTCGAAATGAAGAGTTCGGGAAAGGTGGATCTCCTGGCCACCTCCACCTGCACCTGAAAGATACGGTGGCAGTGAGCAGGTTGCATTAAGGAGTTGGTAAGATGAGACAAGTAGTCACATACAGATGTCTGAATGTGCAGAGAAGTGGGCTGAGACTTGGAGAGTGCTGATGCTTTTGCTCACCGTATTTCCCCCCAGTTTTGTTTATTATTACTCTGTTTTCTTTTTCCGCTCAAGGAAGAATCGTACTCCTCAGATCATCCCAAGTGCAGCACCCTTGGCTGCTCTGGCTCATCTGGTGCCTGGTGTCGCCAAGCTGGTTGCAGGATGGCTCGCTGAGGTGCAGCTTCACCTGGAAGCTTTGGTAGCATGTCCTGTGACAGAAATCCTTCAGGTTCCTTCTGCAGGGAGGTTTGGATGGCTCCTGGTGTCTGTTAGAAAGCTGCAGTGGCAGCTTGGAGTGGACTTGTTCGTAAGCAGCTATTGCGCAGTGTTTTGTCTGTGGGTAGCGATGCTCCTCTTCTCTGCAAGGAGGTGGTCACCAGCGCTTTGGGAAGAGCACAGCAACACAGGATTTACTTTCCAGCTTTAGATGCAGCACAGGAGTAAACTTGCTCTTTCTAATTTTCAAAAAGCTTTTTGGAGGCTTTCAAGTCTGTTCCTCTAGGAGGATCCCAGGAGCTCTAGGGAGCTCCTTTCAAGCCCTGCAAGAAACTTCTGGACTGTGTTATTGAAGTTGTTTAGCTTTCCAATATTCTGGGTAAATCACTGGATCATTCGTAATTTGAAAGTGTGGAAAATATTTTAAGGCTGTGATGGCTCTTAACAGTTTTTTCCTAACCCTCCTGAATCTTTTTACAGCAGGCAAAGTAGGCAACACCTCCTTAGAGCAGGCAAAATACAGTCTGCCTCTATAACAAGCTATCCTAAGAGGCTTAAGTGTTCAAGAACTTTTCCAAACGCTAAGCCACTTGCAACTGGACTCAAATTATTTTACCTCGCTGTTCTTGAAATGCATAATACCCATCTGGGGCCCTGCGGCAAGTCAGCAGGACTCAGAAGGATGGAGCCATGTAGGTGATAACACAGCATGACTTCCCGGTGCAGCGAGTAGGGTTTGTAATTCATAGCAGACAAGTGAGAGAAAACTTTAAAATTGTTCTTAAAAGCTTTTAAAAAAAATTAAAAAGCAACCAAGCACTGGGGAAGGGGAACAAGGGTAAGGTACCAGGAAGATGTAGAGCTCTAGGGCTGGCTGGAGTTTGTCTGTTTACAGCGCACTCAGGAATGTGGTCAGTGGGAATGTGGTCAGTGGGCTGAGGATGAGGCCGTCCCCCTGGCTGCTGGTCCGTACTGCCGCCCTTCCTGCCCAGGGGCTGCAGCGCCAGGACTGCACTGCGGCAGCACCCGGCAGCCTGAAGGCTCGGGTGACTCGAGTTAGCCTGGCGTTGGGTGGTGCTGTAGCCGCTGCGTGGTCTGGGTTGGGCTGGTTGCAGCTCCAGAGGAGGACTGAGTAGATTTCCCTCTGCTGTCTTCCTTGCAGCCACCCCTGGGGACTGTGATTCCCTGGGGGTTTTGTCTGCCCATGTTTTCTCCTCGGTGTGTTAGATCAACGTTTTCCTTTGGTGAACAGTGAGAAACTAGTTATGGCTCGACAGGGGAGATACTGGTTTGGGCTTGTGCGAGACAACACTCCGGTCATGTGGGAATTACCTTGCTTATACGTATGTGTATGGGACAAGGCAGAGCAGTGGGCATGGACCTCAGAAAGTTAGACTGGGTCTTGTTTGGACCAAGACTGGTCCATTTTAGCGTAGGTGAGGACTCTGTGGGCATCTTGCTGTGGTGGTGTTTTTCTTTTGGGGTTGTGTATAGAAGGTAATAATCTAGAGGCCAGTTTACGTACTGCATGCACACTTCAGTAGGCAAAAACTTAGTTTTAGTTTCTCCTTTGATGTTAAATCTGCCTTCGGGTGCCCCTACAGAACATCTTGTGGCTTCACAGCCATAGCTAAGGGCCAGAGCGTGGTGGTCTGCTGTCAGACACGAACGCGATGCTGTCCAGCTCCCAGCTGGCCTGTGACCTGTGTGATGCAAGGGCTCTGTGGCTGATTTGCATGTCTCGATTTAAAAGCGTGATGTCTTTCTTACAGGCACGTGTGTGCCTAAGAACAAAGACATGGCATTTTGCAGACAAGACTCCCCCTTGCTCAGATACGGTTGTGTCCCCATGCAAAGAGCAGGGAGCTGGCGGTCCTGCTGTGTGCAGGCAGGCTTCACGCACTCTTTGTACAGGGGCTTTTCAACCTCAGCCTAATTTTAGCTGTGAGATACAGCTGGAAGCTGAAGTTGTCAGCAAAAGTTTTTTTCTATTAAGACTTACCTAAAATATCTCCTTTGCTGTGTACACATGTTCTTACCTCCTCTTCCTCCCTTATTTTTAATTTTTTTTTGCCTTACAGCTTCTGACATGAAGAAAGACATAGAGTCTTTAATAGCCCAGGAAAAAGCGGAGATCGTTGCCAAGTATGAGAAGGTACCAACCTGGTGTTTCTCCCCAGCTTGCTGCCTAAGGCCGGAGCTATTTAATCCATTAGGAATGCTTCAAATAAGAACTGTTGCCCTGCAGGCATCACCCCAGTAGCCCTCATACGGCTTTGTGCCGGCTCTCCCCAGCTGCTTCTGCCTTCACATCTCCTCTCACCACATACCCAGAGTTTTTCACAGAGCCCGTGTATGCTCAGCACAGATGCTGAAAGGTCCTGGGCTTCTAGTGCTTCACTGCTCCCTTAACACCAGGATGGCTTCTGCCCGACAGCACTGGTTTCTCTGGTACACAGCCCTTCCCAGCCCATAGCAGGGGCACACCAGGATAAGCTGAACCTGCACATTTTTCTCATGCCTGCATTTTATTTATCTCTTTAGAGCAGGTTTTGGTCTCCTGCCTCTATGCCTTCTTGCATGTGGGGAGGGCAGAGTGCAGGCACTGGGGCACTCCTGATGCTGGGGCCAGCTCACAGGTGTCCTTTCTGCTTTCAGGGCAGGCAGGAAGGAGCTCAGATTGACCCATGGGAAGATGCTGATTTCACATTGTATAAAGTTACAGATCGGTTTGGATTCCTGCAGTAAGTCCTGCTGCCCTCTCCTCTCCTGTCTCTCTGACCTGCATGTCTGTGTGGAGCATCCATCTGCGACAAGCATGGCAGACCCAGCATCTTTCCTATAAGCCACTCTGTGGCTTGGCTCGATCAGTCCCAAATGCAGGAGGAAAGACTACATGTGCCTCCTCCCTCAACTACACATGTTCAAACAAACTGATGCTTTGAATCCACTGCAAGGCAAGGCTCAGAAATGGTTTCCCATCACAAGCCTGAAGTCAGAAGGTGCAGACTGGTGCTCCTGTGCCTCCACGGAGGCCTGTGGTGTGTTGCAGAAGGAGAGGCCCCCTTGCATTTGCACCTGATGATTCAGGGAGGTGTAGGAAGAGCTGAGGCAAGATACCTGATCATTCTTGGTTCCCTTAGGAAATTCCCATCCTATGTGAGGTGCGGATGAATTAGATACACACCCTGTACTTGGGTAAGAGAACTATTTTAATCCAAATCCAAACAAAAACTTATAATTGGTGTTTTGTGTGCAGAAGACGGGTTCAGAGGAGTTGCTATCCAGAAATCCTGCCTCTCCCTGCCTTTTTAATTACTGATCATGTGTGTATTGAAGGGGAGCTTTATGTCCAGGATTTCCAGCAATGACCCCCGCAGCTCCCATAGGGTGGTGGGGTTCTGGCTGGTACTTCCTCTGCCTCTTCCTGTCGGAGAATGCTATGGGGAAGGCACAAAACCCCGAGGCCATATCTCCTCTGGTGCCTGAGGTAGTTTCTGAGCTGCAGCACCTTCCGCTCCTTCCTCCTCATATACCCTTCTTGCCCATAGAGTAACCAGTGTCCCCTTGCTTTTCCAGTGAGCAGGAGCTGCCAACCCGCTCAGCCTTGGAGGAGAAGGTGAGAGCTGTCAGCTGTGTTGTCGTGGGTGTCAGATCATACTTATGACACTGGCTGGGGAGGGGACAGTTTTTGAGGAAGCAAATGTGTAAGTGAGAGTGAAGCAGCCAGCCAGTGCCCGCTGCTCGTGCGGAGGTGGGAACTCAGCACGATGCCTGGCTGTTGGAGCTTTTCTTTTCCTGGGTCAGGCATCTCCCCTCCTCCACGCTGCACTGAAATTGCACTCTTTAAAGCAGCTTTGGGCTTTTCCCTCTGCTTTGGCACAGTGGTCAGCAGCTGCAGCTTGAAAAGGGGATTGCATATGTTGGGGAAAGAGGTGGAGGTTGTAGGTGACTGTCATCTCTATCCTCAACTCCCCTGAGCTGAGAGCATGTCCTCTGTTAGCAGCCTGCTAACTGGGACTAAACAGCATCTTGTTTCCGCTGATCTGATACAGTGGTACAATTTGAGGCTAGCTGAAGCTACAAAGATTTTTGTTGTCAAGGAATACTCCTCTTGGAAAGGCTTGCTCTATGTTAAGCCTTTCTGTCTCATCGTTTTTACAAGTATTGCTTTAATTACCAGAGGTTGAAACTACTGGTTCCTGCAAGCACCTGTGGATTATTCCCATAATCGATGTGAGGTCTTTGCATAGAAATTTAAACCTAAAGAGAATAAAGTTTTATGTTTTCAGGAGGTAACTTCTGGGGCTTTTTTCCTTAAATTTGTCTTCTTTCCCCTTGCACCAGCAAAAACAGCAAGAAATTGAACGTGTGGACAAGTGGCTAAAGATGCTGAAGAAATGGGACAAATACAGAAACAGTGACAAGGTAAGGAGAAAACAACTTGAGCTTGGTTAAAAGGTTGTGCAGAGGGATCTGCATAGCTGCAGGGGCGGCATCAAGCAGAGCATCCCTCTCACCTGGCCACCCGTAACAGTGTCAGGTTCACCCAGCCAAAGACCAGCTGTAGTCTTGTCCTTTTTTAAAAAACAGAAACAACAAAAACAGAACACAAAACAAGTAAAATCTTATCTTCATGACAGGAGGGATGGGCTTGGGGTTTTATAGGCCTTCTGTTCACTTCAGGGTGATTCTAGTTAATTTGTTCATCGGTGCTCCCATGGCTTTGTTTTTTCTCATTAGAAGCTAGCACTGACTGATTAGTGGCCTTGTGGGTAAAACACCAAATTCCAGCAGAGTGCAGGGAATTTTTGTCAGGTCCTGGAGGATGTTTAGGATGGGTAATGGATGCGTGTTTTTAGTCTGCCTTGGCTTCCTTGGGTCAGCTGGTGGAGACGGACAGGATCAGGGGTGAGAGGTGTGTGGAGTGGTAGCGATCCCCATCTGTCTTTTGGATTTACCCAAATAATTAGTGGGTGTGTTGAGCATGCTGCAGCTGACTCTGCTGGATGGCGAGGGGCTCGACTGGCAAGCGGGTTTTGAGGGGTTTTGGGTCAGAAAATCACAGAGCTCTTGTAATGGAATAAATGATGTTATTTATAACAGCTGTAAAAGGTTGACAACTCTTGAGCATAGAATTGGCATTGTCCCTGTGCTGGGGGACTGGAAATGGCCGTTTCCCCTCCCAGCAAACAAAAAAGCAGTGTTTGGCCACAGGCAGGAAAGGAACAGTCTGGTGACTGTGGGGAGTTGAAAGGAGCTTTGGTTTCAGTCCCATCCAGACTAACACCCTGCTGCCTTTAACCAGTGCGAGTTCAGCCAGGAAGGTCTGTGCATCAGAGCAGCCATGCAGTGTGAAGTGCAAAGACCCTGAGAGGCACAGAAGAAGTGCTTTAAAAATTAATAAATTTATGATGTGTAATGCCATGCTTTTTTGTCGGGAGTGTGGAAGCTGCTCAGAGACTCCTGCACCTGTGACTAGGTGCAGTGCAGACATGGTGTTCCAAGGACCTCATGGGATCACAGTCATGTCTTTCAGATGGTTATGGGTTTTTTTCTAGCTAATGTAAATGGGACAAGCCCTTGATCAGATTTTTCTAAAGTGGAGTGGGTTGGTTTTGTTCCCTCTCTGAGCACTCGGGCTGTCACATCTGCATTGCACGTTTCCTTCAGGTTTGTTTTTGACGCTTTGCTGGCGTGATGGAAGCCCGAGAGTCACAAGACAGCAGCTCTGTGTTATTTTAATAAAGACTAGGATGTCATCTTTGAAAAAAACCTCTTACTGAAGACAGCAGCCTTCCCTTTGATGTTCATTTTTATAGATCGCTCTTTATTAGAGGGGGAAAAAGGTCTTGTTGCAGGAACCCCGGGCAGTTTCACACTGAAACTGCTCTGACTTTGGCTCTGCTCAAGCGATGTAGAAACCCATCTTATTTTCCAGGCTGGGTCTTTCTGGACTTCAGGGCCAATCTTCTGAGTTCCCTGTTCATGTGCTGGAGCTGGGAGAAAGCTGACTCTGCCACGTGCTTTAAGAGGCACTCTTGGCTGATCAAGCAGGCTGTCATGTTTTGCAGCATCTTAGTACCTGATCAGGGCTGAGGTTGTTGTCTCAGCTTCTGTGTTGTGTAATGTCAGCAGGAGGAGGGAGGTAGGGTACCTGTCCAGGGCACTGACCCCAAAGCAACCACCCCTCAGCAGTGAGAAAGCAGCTTTTTCAGACCACCAGCATGAGCCATTGCCAGAGAGCAGCCAATTTTGCTTTCTGTTCCCCCACCTGCTGACAATGTGCATCCCTGCATGCTGGTGGTTTCAGTCTGAGTGTTGTGGCTGTCACAGATTATAAGAAATAAGGCTGAAAAAAACTCTCAAGAGAAGAGTTTCTTACAGTCCCTAGCCCAGGATGGGCCCAGCTATGCCTTAAATCATTCCTGGCATAACCTGTTTCAGGATGAGCAACAAATAGAATTGTCTTAAAGTGATGCTCTGGGGTTCCTTGTGCTCATCACCATGTCAGATCTCTCTCCATCTCTGTTATAGACACATTTCTTAGCAATCTGATTTAATGTCGGTAGCATCATCAACAAAAAGTGACACAAGCACAATTCCTTGTATGGATGGACTGATGCAATGGTGCCTTTTCCTGGCTGCACTTCCACAAGGGAAAAATAAAGGAGTTCATACAAGGACCATGCTGCTTTGCAGAGTTAAGGTACGTCAAACCTGCAAAGAAGTGGTAAATCGTGTAACTCTGGGATCAGCACAGGGAGGCTCAGGTGGTCTGTGTCCTTTTCACTGCTGCTTTAAACCCAAGTTTAAATTCCAACCTGACTCTGCCTGGGAAGGTTAGGAAGTGGTTGGTGCCATGTAAGAATATACACAGTTAAAGCAGCACAGTTTTGCAGAGAAAAGAGAGGCTGTGCTGCATGGTCTCCAATAGCAGGATAATTTATTCATTGTAGCTTCGAAATAAGTGGATCTCAGCCAGAAGTATTAGTCTTAGGAAGAGGATGTGACCTCTGCATCATTTGCAAGCTGCTTCTTGCTGCTGGCCATGGGGAATGGGACCTTTAGAGAGGGATGTCTTCAGCCAGAGATGTCTGGTTTTTAGGCAAAGCCTGTCTTTGTGCACAGGGGTAGCCTTGTCTCTGCTAAGGTCATGGGAGTGCGGGATGCTTAATCCAGTGTATGCCAGCAAAGCAGTTTAGGATGAATCAGGGCTCTGTGTGGACTGACACGGACCCCCAGAAGCAAATAATCTGTTAACGCTGGGGAGAGCCAGCAGATGTTTGTCATGATGAGATGCTTGAGAGATGTTTGTCGTGGCAGGATCGGCCGAAGTCAGATCTCCTGCCTGCAAATACTACAGGAAAGAAAGGGGGTTGCACCTGGGAGCTGCGCGGTAACTTCTGCTGAGGGCTTTTGCCATTTTGGAAAGGCAGGCAGCATTTTCTTCTCCCTGAAAGGTAGCCCTGGTAATAAATAAGTTTAAATGCCCACCCACAACACATCAGCTTTAGGATTTAAATTTGTCTCTGCTTTGCTGCTGATGCCTCCTGCTGCCACCCTATCCAGTGCAGTCCAGGCTCCAGCTGCAGGGACAGCAGCTGAGTTGGGAGCAACCATTATTGGTACAGGAAAAAACCCCTGCACAGCAAAGTCCAGGCGGACAAGTGTCTTGCATGACCACATCATCAATCAGCTGGCTTTGTGGTGCAAAGAAGAAGTTCTCTTCTCCAGAGTGGTGGTGGTCATGGTGGTGGTGGAGGTAGTAAGGTTTCACCCACTACTCCAGGTGAATATTGTCACAGCTGAGCTCCCCTGGCACATCGCTGGTGGAGGAAGTGAAGGAGTCCTTCCTTTTTAGAAGGATCACTCTTTAAGCCCTAAAGGAACTGAGTTGGAGAGGCTGCCCCCTACTTCAGGGTGCTGGAGACATATGGTGGGTATACAGAGAGGCTTGAAAGTGAAATTGCAGTGCATGCCCAAAATTTGGGCATTACTTCTGCAGTCTCTTCCTGGTGGACATGCACATGGCTGAGAAGTTAACAGTGACAAGCTCCAAAATGAGAAAGTGGGCTGTTTTAAAAAAAACAACTCGTTGCTTACAAACCATTTTTAACTTCAGTGTTTTAACTACTGCGAAAAAATGTCCTGTGCTTAAAAGCAGTGACTCCAGCCCTCTACTTAAACCTGTAGCAGTTGGTTGGGTACTTCTCAGAGGAGATCTCTGATGCAGAAAAGATGGGAGCTGAGGTCTGTATTTCTGTAGTCTTCCCCATCCCACTTCTGGAAAGAAAGTACATGGGGAGGGGAGAGATGAGGATGGGGTGATGATGGCCTCTGTGCTTTGTATCTTAAAGCCTAGAAAGGGAAAAAGATCCTATGGCAAAACCCAGAGCAAGTTTTAAACACTGTGGGTTCAGCCCTTGGCTCTGACACAGTCTTTCTACACAGCACCTGAGCCATCACTTTGGTCAGCAGTATCTCCATTTGTGAAGCAGGGTGATGTCCATTCTTCCTGCCGTGCGTCGGTCTGTCTGTCGTTCTGGTTGGGACATGATCTGGGTGCTCTCTTCCCATCTGTAAGGGCTGAGCAGTTTGTAAGAGGCAGATGATGGTGACTCTGAGGGTGGTTGTTTCTGCTCACATGGAGCAGATGTTGCCATCGCCTGCTGCCTTCCCTCCATCAGTTCATCCCAGAATAAACGCTGCTTTTAATGATAACTTCCTTGTTTTCCTTTAAGTTTTATGACGAACGACAACTGCTCACTTCTCCTCTGTGTGACTCACAGCTCTGAGATTTTATCACTTTCACGTCTGGAGGTGGTGGGAGGAGGAAAACACTTGGATAAATAACAGGGAGTTTGGTTCCATCTCAGCATGCTTTGTAACTCCCTTGTTCCTGCCACACTCTTATGTGGCGAAAATCATTACAGACATTTACTATGTGCCAGTGAGGGTTGCATTCATTAAAGTACAACAATACCAACTCAGAATTAAAAAAAAATAAAATTGATTTCTTCCCACAGAGCTGAGCATCATCTTCTACCTTAGCAGCTGTCTGTTGGTCTCTCCTAATCCGTTGGAAATAAATCATTTTTTCTGAATTGGTGATTTTATCTGAATTGGTCCCTACCCCAGTTTCTTGATCCTGTCTCAGCTTTTGCTTCCTGAAGTCACAAGCACTTGCAGGAGCCAGGCTTTCATGGGTGCCTTACCAGTACCACTCTGGGGACGTTGTTAATCTAACCCCATCATTTTGTGTCTCCTGACGCATTGCACTTCCTTTGTCCTCATTTAATGACTCTAAGAGAATGGGAACCTCTTGTTCATCTCCTTGGTCTTCCAGCTGTGGAGAAGCTGTCCACCATGGTGTGAAGGTTTGCTGTCCTCCAGAAACGCCTACCACTCTGGGGACGTTGTTAATCTAACCCCGTCATTTTGTGTCTCCTGACACATTGCACTTCCTTTGTCCTGATTTAATGACTCTTAGAGAATGGGAACCTCTTGTTCATCTCCTTGGTCTTCCAGCTGTGGAGAAGCTGTCCACCATGGTGTGAAGGTTTGGTGTCCTCCAGAAACACCTCATGTGAGCTTGGACAAGCAGGAGTGGCTTGACAGTCAATTAGTGATAATCTGCTTAAAATGTGACATGCTGTTGAATGGAGTGGTGGCCTTCCATGGGCATGTCTTCGTAGTGATATGCTTTTTAGGGGGCTGCTCTTACTTGGTGCATACAGAGAGGAGGGCAGGATCTTGCAAAGGATTTTTTAGAGTATGATCCAGTCTATGGACCTTCAGAGCTGGTGTTAAGCAACACCTGGGGCAGAGCAAGCCTTTGGCAAGTGCTGAGAATGGGATTTTAAATGTTGAATGTCCATTACACTTACAGAATCAAGACACATTACACTGATGCTTTCTGTGTCAGCAGAAATACTGAAATATTTATCATCCTGTGGTGGAAAAATGTTCTAACACGCAGTTAGCTCTCCTGCTACTACATGGTGGTCTTGGCATTTATTACGTAGCTATTTTATGTATTTACTATAATTGGGATAGTGGTGGTATTTCTTCACTAGCCTGTCTGTTTGGCCTCCATCTCCTGTCTCGTTTTGTACTACCTCTTTGGGACAGGAGCCATCGTTGCTGTGTTTTGCACCCCATAGGTGCAGTGCTGCCTTGCAGATGGTAACGAAATGCAGGTCTGTGCAGGGGTTTGTGCTCTGGCAGGCTGCAAATCCAGGTGGGTTGACAATGCTGATATATCAGATTGGAGGTGCACTCTCTGCACCAGTGCAGGCAGAGAACGTGGTCGGTTGGGGTGTCTGCTCAGATGGCTGGTGGTGCTCAGCAGCAAATCGTGGAGTGAATCTGTTCTGCCACCCGCAGGACCAGCTAACCTTGCATGTGTTTCTCTTCCCACAGATGTGCCGGCGAGTGTATAAAGGGATCCCACTTCAGGTGCGAGGCCAGGTCTGGTCACTTCTGCTGGATGTCGAGAAGATGAAGAAGGAGAACGAAGGAAAATATGAGGTACGGGCTCTTCCTGGAAAGGACAGCAGGAGCAAGGTGATGGGGAGTCTGGTTTGGTGGGGCTTCACCAGCTGGAGCAAACTGAACTCAAGGTAGATGCAGGCATCTCCATCTCCACCTGCATTGGCAGGAGGGAAATGAGGGTTCCTACAGGGATGCCTTAAGGGGCAGGTTTGGGGACACCTAGCCCCTGCATCCTCCTTTGCAGGGTAGCAGCATGCTGAACACTCTACAGTGTGGGCTGGTGGTGAGGCCTGATGCCATCTGTGAAGTGCTGCACCCTCTGAGAAGGAAAGGCTTAAAATTAGTGAGGACTGAAAATGCAAAGGGGATAAACTCTATCCTTGTGTGTGTGTATTAGGCTGGGACCTTGTGGCATGTTAGCCAGCTGCTTTCCCTAATATGCTGCTTCCATTTGTTCTGCTGGAAGCCGTGAGCAAAGATCCTTTTGGTGTTACTACATCCTTAGGAAAGGATGCAGGGGAGAGGGAGGGGAAGCTTAGTAAAGGTGCCACTTGCAGTTCCCCGAGCTCCCTGGAGTGATACAGTGTAGCCATGGGTACCCTGAAGGGGGTAGATCCTGGTTGGGGGTATCCCAAACCTCTCCGTGTGCTTGAAGGTTTCACTTGGGCGTTTTGAAATCCGCAGCAAGGTCAGAAGCCTTAAACTAGCTGATGATGGATCATTAGTTGAGAAACCTGATTAAGAGTGGGTAGGTGTTGCAGTCTTGGTAGAGGGATTTCTGAGCACAGGGTCCTGGCTTGCAACTGAGGTGTGCAGCTGGAAGTTGACTGGAAGTGTTTGAAGAGCTTGGATAGAACTGGCTTCTTTTATCTTCCATCTTCAATCTTTTTATAACTGTCTTGAAAGTTTCTGTTGAAAATCACTAGTAAAAATAAAATTAAAATAATTTTTCTATTAAAAATAATTTATTTTCTCTGCAGATAGGAGAAAAGCCTGCTTTGCATTGCTTCCCACCAGAGCACTGCATGCTGCAGGCTTGGATTCCTTGGTATAAAATACGCATTTTCTGTAGCATGCCTTGCACAAGAACCCGACTGATGGGGTTTGCTGTATTTTGTTATTTTTTATTTCAGACATCTTGGCTCCCTTATACTGCCTCTTTCCATAGGCAAGGTGTAGAAGCCCTTGGTTGATAATTAACTTATTTTCCAAACTTGTGTTACAATTTAGTTTGCATCACGTACCTGGGCAGGGATCAGGGTGTTGTGGACACAGTTATGTTTCAGAGGCAGGAGGTCAAGTGCTGCTTCCAGCAGGTGTTTCTAAAGATCCCTGCCTATTAAGCAGGATGATCACAGAATCACAGAA